ATTTTATTTAAAATACGATAGTATTCTCTATAGGCGATAAGGCACAAAATATATTATATAACTATACTCCATGGTTGTGTCAATGTGGTATGCGTCTATGTTGCTTGACTTTGTTGCGAATGCGCTTAGGAAATATTGTTCATTGAAATATCAATGTGCCTAAATCGACCCTAGCATAAATACCTTAAATGGTATAAATTATTTACGTTATTTTAAAAGAAGCATATTTTTACACATATTTCTACCTTCCTGAAACTTATTCAGCTCAATCGTAAGGGCAACTTTAAGTTGAGCATAGACTGAAATGTCGACAATTAAAAGAATGCAAGCAAAGAATAATGAGGTAGTGTAAAGCTTGCAACTTAAATTGCCTTGTGGAGTTTTTGTCTCAGCTATACAACCACCTACGTTGGAGATTTACCAACAACATGAAAAGGTCTAAATTTAAATGAATATTCACAAAAGGTATACTTCAATGTTCATCTATTTGTGTGTGATCTAAATACCTGGGATTGTTTAAGTTCATTTTCTCAAGTGAGAAAGGCTTAGACTGATGATTCGACTGAACAAATTTACACGAACACATGGAGTCTGCATTGTGATATTGGATGCGCTGCCAGGATAATTCTGACCTTGATGGAGCCTGTTCTAAAAGCGTTTCATCAGAAAACTCTTCACTAATTGCACCTTCAAAATCCTGTTCTTTGGCCAGCCTACGCTCAGGTGACTCGCCCATGGGTCGGCTGGCAAGTGCGTCTATGGAATGAATAGGAACATGTGCATAAGGTTGCTTTGCATAATTGTGTGATGGCATAGTTGACCAAGGCTGTTCTTCGCACGAGGCGAATATCAAATAAACCACGCCTGCCAAGAGCTGGACGCCCGCAGCCATACACAAAGCAATTCTCCAGCCGGTCTCGGGTAATTTTGTGTCTTTTGAGGCTGATCCGATGATAAATGACGCAATCACAGTTGAAAGAATACCTATAAAATATAATATTTTAAGAATTAAGCAAATAACTCTTTCAAGATATAGCACTTATGCTGTATTGTATTCAAAATAAATATACCCGGCTGCCAAAATAGTAAATTATGTAAATACAACATTTTCAGCTATTTGTAATAGTAATGAAAATTATCAAAGGTAATATAAGAAATTAGTTTCAAGAATAAGAATACATATTTGCAATCCAGTAAGTAAATATGAATTCATGATTTTGATTAATCGCCCTATAAGTAAAGCATTAGCAGCTCCGTACTCAAATCATTCTCATTTAGCTTCCTAAAAACTTGGATGAGCTTATGTCTGAAATCACGATATATTTTCACAGCTTTTTCTAAAAAAGATGATCTATTCGTTGTCTAGTTACGTTTTACCTAATCATATGTTAGTCTAAAGAACTTAGTTAGATAATTTGAAAGTTCGATTACAACAGACTTGGATCAAAGATACTTGTGTGAGGACTTTAATGGTTCAAATATTTATGAATCGAGGATTCTATAAAAGAGACACTTCACATGCGAATATGCTACTGACTTTACACATTTATCCTGGTTCCAGGTAGCCAAAGAGATTTGGATAACGGTTTTGAAATAATCTACTTTAAAAGGGTAAAATATCCATTCTTTGAGAGTCTATATTTAGAGACAATTCTATGAAAACATGGGCACTCATATTGAAATCTTTAATCAAACATTTACAAGGGCGTGATTACTGACCATTTTCATGTAAATTACTCAACTAAGACTTTTTCATACCAGTTAGTAACTTATTTCATAAATTTATATTGAAGCAATATAAAAGTTGAAGGAAAATATTTAATTTGAAATACTTAATGATTTTATTGAAATAGAGGATTACCATAAATTATAGCAGCAGAATTTATTTAAACACAATTTCATGCAGATTAGAAGTTAATTGCATGAAGCACAAATAATTTTATTTACATCTATTACATAATGCCATAAAAACTCAATTTCTTCAGTGAAGACGTGATAGAAGTATATAGGAAATGTGAATAAACCAGGGTGGAAGAGGAGATACCACAACTGTTTAGCTTCACTTGTCTCTTTGACGAGTTGTTGCGTCAATTTTTCCAGTTTATCAGATACAAAAGATGAATTACTTGAATATATATGGAGGATAAAAAGTACACATTATATTTATATATGGAAATTATAGCGACTTTTAAACTAGATTGTTTACTAATGTTTCGTTTGATCATCATTTTAAGTAGCTCAATAATTTATGTATATGGGTTGTCCTACACCAAGAACCCGGAAAATACCTCAGATAATATAAATATTGCAGCCGCATCAGGAAAGTGTTGAAAATAAGGTTATTTTATATTATTAGAAAGTGAATCAATTCAAAGACTGATTCGACTACTCAGATTCAAATAAAAACATTAATTTATGGCTAACCAATCGTGTTCGTTAATGCGGGCTATCAAGTCTGTATGAGGAATTTTCATATTTGTTTTTGGATATCACAATAAAAAAAGTAATGTATGCACTTCCTCCATGGCAAAAGAATTTCGTTATCTGTAGAGTTCTTATAAATATCTATGTGCATTTTATACTTATGGTATGGATTCAGCAACAAGGATAATTACCTACTTCTATTATTCTGCATAAGCTAAAGCATCCACAAAAAGTAAAGGAAAATAAGTCTAGAATCCAATTTGCCGTGGATAAAGAAAATAAAATCTTATTTACTGAAATGAACACGTTTTTTCTGAGTTGAATTAGAATAGAAAGTTTAAATCGCATCTGCCTCAATACCGACGCAATCCATTTTGTTATATGGGAAGCTTTAGGACTTTTGTTACTTTGATTAATTTACATATTTCTAAGGCTATGCATACCGGAAGGTAATTACCGATAGCAATAGTCATGATTACTTAGGCTGTATTCTTGAGTTTATCAATCAGAACGGCTATTCGGGCAAAGCTACGCCCTCTAAGCTTCAGGAAAAATGCAAATTATAAAGCAATTCTCGATTCATAAGTAGTGAATTATTTAAATGCTAAGTAATTACAAAGAAAGAATTTTTGATTCCGAATCAGTAGCACAATGTTTTGGCTAGCCCTCACAATTGCTACTTGGGTACTCTGACATGAATACGTATTATTGTGAAGATTTAGCAAAAGTATGAAGAACTCTTTTCGTTGAATAGATATTGTGTGACCTTGTTTTCGAAACTTGGTCCTATTGACAGGAAGACCTAGTCCGGAGTTCATAGTATGCATGATAATTTGCAGAGTCGGATGGTGGAATTGGTACATTCCCGAACAATTCGCCGATATCGTAAAAGAGACAAGTGAAATCTATCCTTTGACCAATTGTCTGCTACACAGCTGTGGTATCTCTTCTTCGGTCCTTCACCGATCCTATATCCTCGTATCACCCCTTTACCCTCACAATATCTTGCTTATCTAAACCTAGCTGAGGTCTGTCCTTTTGAGCTGATTTTGTGAGGTCTATGCATACTCTTTACTGGTTCTCACCATCCTCCAAAGATCCTAGGAATGTTCATCCAAGACCTCAATTTATTCAGCAATCCTCCTCATCCAAGTTCTTAAGATTATGCATTTTGCTCCGTAGGATCTGTCTCTATCTACCTGATTCAGTGGTTTCACTCGATAACTGCCACCAGAATTGTACTATTAGAGGTGTTATGTTCTACACTTAGTCTCAAGTCTTTGAAAGCACGTAAAAACCAATCTCATTGTGCAGGACCCAAAGTCTGGATTCTTTAATGCCATGGGAACATAACTTGATGCTGCATTTTCCCTTATCTCTGGTGACATGTGCACGAATTATACATTGTGGTCAAGCCTTTACTTCACAGAACAAGTCTACGATTAATAACCAATTATATATGCTTTCCTCTGAATATTTTCCTCCTGTCTCTATAATGCCAGGTCGATGACCTATGCCCTAATCTCTTGTATGCCGGTCCCAAATGTTATAGTAGCAAATATCGCAAGACGACCGACAGCATACAGTCCTCCGAAGATACACAAGAAAGCAAAACCACAAACGTTAATAATTAAAAACTAGCATGAAACAACACACAAACTATAAAAATTTATAAGTATGAAACTCAAGAAAGCAAAGGACAGACTCTTGAAAAGCGAAAATAACTTATATTAATTTTCTCAAAGGATCCAAAACTTTTGACTGGCTGAGACAACAATGTTGGTTACTTTTGACATATAATCCATGTACCAAATCATCTCAAGCGATAAGGCAAACATGGCCATTCTGGAGAGCTTGGAACAAGAGGGGGATATCCTGGGAGACAGTTGATATGGAAAAAGTCGTTAGCATGACTAATTAACCTTAGAGTAAGGTCATCCTATTTTACATTAAACGGAAATATCTCTGAGCAAATATTTGAACTATTGAAGAAGTCTCTATTCCCATCTCTTTTGAAAAATGTATGCATGAAAAAATTGCAAATTTGATTCAGGAAGTCACTGCCGCAACCAAAAGTGCTTATGCGATACATGGATGACAACTTTGTCTTTTAGTCGAATGGTAAGAATTATTTAGATGAATTCCTCAACTTTATGATCCAATCTAATGGAAAAATTAACTTCACAGTGGAGTTTGAGGCGGATAAGCAACTAGCTTTCCTAGATATTGAGGTCATTTGCTTCGCTTAAATATTCAGAAAAAAATTACATGCATGAATAATCATTAATTTTTAGTCTCATTAAGATTACGAACAAAAGATCGAAATACTAAAGATTTTGCTGATCAAAAGCATAAGAATAATAGACCTGGAGTTGAGACAAAGAGTTAAATAATTGACTCGGATTTTTCTTAGTAACGGGTATACTAGAGAAATAAAGTGTTCATAAGGAGTATATATCAACTAGAATATTATAAAAATAAAATTAGGAATAGAGGGGACAACCAGAAATGGCTATGCCTGCCCTACTGTCAATTGAGCCGAAAATTATGAACATTAGCGCGAAAATGGAATACGAAGGTGATAACAAAGAAAAAGACACCACTCTTCGTCAGCCTACTGACGCAAGACGTGGTTGACAAACTGAATTGCTCTTGAGCTTATCGCATCTAATGCGGCAATTGAGAACAGAAGTATATCGGTGCTTATGAGGTATAAAATAATATGTTTAGATGATGGGAAAAAAATCACTAATTTTGAATAGATGAATGAATAAAATCTCTGAATGTATTATGAACTCTAATATTTTTGTCAAATAGAAAATTCTTTGAAACACTTCAACTCTCAATTATATGATTATTCAATGAGTTGTAAAAAAACTTAAAGCTCAAAAAATGCAATAAAATTCCCATTCAGGTAATTTTGAGACGTTAAATAGCATATATAGAGCAAGTTTTGTTATAATCTCTACCCTCAGGCCATTTATATACCATATTATTCCTTGTACATTGGAACAGTGTGTGTCAGGCTCAACAAAGTTATTTACGCATTTCCGTTCCTCCATTGCCATTAGTAAATAAGAAACAATTTTTCAAACGAGTGTGAAGCAGAACAATTACATTAAATCGATCATATTGCGTTCTCAATTTCCATTCCCTTCTAACAAAATTACTTTAGAATTTGCAACCCTATGTGGTTGTATTTTTAATTGGGAAGGACTTCTGAGTCTGTTAGTGTCGTTTACATTGTTGTTTATATATCGTTTACTTAACTTCTATTCATAAATGTCAGGTAAGGCTAAACTAATTACTGGAAAATCTGAATGCTAAAACAGCTTGCAAAGTAAATTTATAGAATTGGATGCAAGCAGATTCACCTCAATTCTGTTATCTATTGCATTTTAGACAAGCTTGTAGATGTATTATAGTCAGTTATAAAAATTTTAGAAATGACTATGTACAACACAGATTACCACAACAAAATAGAAACATAATCAGCCCTGTTGGAGAGATAGTCAGAAGGCTAAAACAGCGGTCAGTAACGGAAAAAAATAAATCCCTTAAACTGAAGACAGTTTTATTTAGTCGTTTTGCTTAAGGCTTGGAATGTAATTCTTAAATTTAATCTAGGCAAAATCGCTTACACAGCTTCAATGAAGGTATAATAAAAATTAGATTCTATGAAGTCATTAATAACTTGCTAGTAAAAACTGTATTTGCTTGGGGCACTGACCTAAGGGCATTAAGTAAATACAGGTTAGATTTAATTAACCAGATCATCTGGATGAAATCCTGCCGAATGAAGACTTTTATTAATATAGAATTTTATGGAGTAAGCTTACAGTTAAATAAAATAAGTTTTCCTTTACTTTTAAGAAAAATTGCAAATCTCAGACTAGATCTAGCCTGATATAAAGTTTGAAAGCAAATCGCAGAGACTGCCATAAGATATTTACCGATTTACGTACTCTAGATCTGCTTATCTTATACTTTCATTATTTTTAGTAGATATTTCAAGATCAAGAGCAAACATATGATGTTTTTTATATGCAACGGGATTGAAAATAATTTGACCTATGTTTGAATAATTAAGATACGTTTTGTGATAAAAGCCTTTAATCATACGTAAACTACCTTAAAACAAGTTCTAATAGCATTTACCTATGAAGCAGATAGTTCCTTATATTTTTATGAAATAAATATAGAGCTTTTGAAGAAAAGTGTTACCTCTGTCGACTAAATAAACATGAAGATTTTTAACTTTAAATCAAATTAGTTAATCATGAAAATAATTGTTTGCT